AGTGACATCACTAGACAAGCCATTACTCGAGTGGAACCCGAAAGGGAAGCGGCAAGTTGGTCGTCAGTGCAAGGGTGACTTGGAAGAGGTCATGTGAAGAGGAGATGAAAGCATGTGGGCAGACTTGGAGCGGGGTGAAAAAGTTGGCATAAAAGCAGAACGCAATGGAGAAGCGCGGCTGAAGCCCTACGTTCCTCTAGGAATTAAAGGATGTAATAGTAATAATATAATACTATAGAACTAGAAAACCTTCACGCAACTTTCTTAAGTAATGGATAGCCTAGACCGTTTTCTATAAAGAACATCACGAAAGCAACCGTCCCTGGACAGATCACGTTGCCAAAGAAGACTGTTTATGAGTTTGGTGTTCAAGGGCGACGCTGTTGCTAACGTGAATAAAAGTCGTTCATCTAAATGTATTAAACACCTTTTATGCAGCTGACTTACATTTATTATTCACCAGCCGGAATATGATCTGATAAGGTGTCAAGGAAATGCTACCGTTTATATCCACCCCTATGTGTACAAACTTTTTAACATGCTCTTGTGGAACTTAGCACATTGGATGTTATAAGCGTGTTCTCCAGAAATCAGTAGCTGAACACTACCCGGTTTGGTTAGTGAAACGTGGGTATAGAACGACGAAGTCTCCAATTTGTGAACACATCTGGAGTCAGGTCAATCAGCTTCACGCGATTTATCCTTCAAAGTTATTTACAGAACCAAATCCAACCACTCCAATAGCTCACGTTTTCTTCACTTATGCATAGGCCAAGCTGCAGCTATACATGATCAGGAACCTAAATTATGTGATAAAAAACGTTTTGTTAGACCTGTTTTTACCTCGGTCAAAGGTAGGTTCTTTTATCTTATTTTTATTTTACCATGTGAATTCATTCTACTTTACTTCATCTTAGCCATCTTTATTGTTACCATCATCGTACTGTTAATTTTTTTAGACAACTCTTGACCTACAATTTTTAAATCTTTGTTCCAGTTCGCTTGTTCAACAGGCTTTAAAAGTTTTGTAATTCATCCACTTCGGTTCATCATCATTTTAAAACATCATTTAAATGATCGTTATCTTATCCTATGTATATTCGCTGAGCAATTCATAGTGTTTTTTATTGCCTTTTTGCGTAATTCAGTCGTTACGTGCCCGCTCAAGCTTCCTGCTTTGAATTTTAATTATCACCTGTTTTCATTGTCTGACGAAAGAATGTCTAGCAGAGTTTCAGGTAATAAGAATTGTGAAGTTGTTTAAGAAGTCGATAAGCACACTAGAATCGGATGTGAATGAACTAAAATCCTAAGCAATTCAAGGTAAGGGACTATCTCAGAATGTTTTGGCGTAACATTAATATTTAAATTTTAATAATTTTAATTACAAACTTTAGACGTCAATGTGTTTCTCTGACGACCAATGAAAGTGCTTGTTTCTTAGCAAAAAGTAGATTGAGGTTGTACAACTAATTTTTTTATTTATTTTTTTTTATTTTTTATTTACAGCTTGATTCCACACTGTATTTTTGGTACAAGTATGGAATTTTCAGCATGGATATCGGTAGCCCAAATTTTGCAGGCCGACCATAGATATCATGTGTGCGCCGGCGTGGGCTCGAACCCCGGACCATGTGCATGGTCGGCGAGAGTGCTAACCACTGTGTCACCGACGCACTAGAATTCAATCAACAAAAAGTGACTACGTCAAGCATTTATACAAAACCACTAACTGAATAGAGTCAATACAGACGCATGAAAGCATAAGAATAATGCCACTCATTAATAAGAAGCACTCGAAAACAAGAGCAGAAATGGCATAGAAAGTTGGGGACTAATGATTTAACGCTATTTAAGCTATCCAGCACTCCCAGGTATTCCAATGTTTCTCTAAGCCTGTTTCATTGTTATATAAGTGTGCAGTAAAAGCACTGTTAATAATTCATGACTCCACTGGTTTACTCTCTGTTGAACACATCATTAAGCAGTGGCGACGTTTTACGATGAAAGCAGCTTAAAGAAGAAGGAGTATGATCGTTCATTGAACAGTAATTTGGAAAGACACAAAGGATACAACCACAAAATCGATTCTCATATGTCTCAAGACATACTAGACGAGATGTAAAATCATACTGTATAACAAGTATGGAATAAATAATATATACGCACTATCAGGCAATTTAGTTTTTATCGCTGTAAGATGGTGAGGGAATCTCTTTCTCTCTTTTGTAGTTTTCCATGATGCCACAGTTATTATTGTTAAACCGTTAGATGATATTATGATGGTGTTCGTTCCAAGCTAGATCACGAGATGACACCAGCTAAAGAATCAGTCAAAATCGATGAGTATTAGTCGGTTGTTTCGTCTTGGTTCGGTTTCCTCAGCGGTATGCACCCATGACCCCAATGCTTATCGAACCTACGGACTTCAGATTACAAGACAAGCCATTAATCGTTTACTCACTGGGACAGAATCCATTAGTCCACTAATTCTAATTTCCTCAATTCATGCCAAGTAGCGTCTCACTGGGATTCCAAGGATCCTATCCCGTAGTCAGTAGTTAGTTAGCATTAGGTCACTATCGCGAACTGGTAGAAGATAGAATTCATGGGCTGTTGCATTTCGCCCAAGCGAGGTCTTGGGTTCGATGCACAGTGGGATCATGGGTGTATATCACTGAGCAGTAACCGACTACGACGAAATGGGTGTCTGGTTCTCTCTGATTTTCACTGATCTCCTACGTGATTTCAGCTCGTGACCTAATTCGAAAAACAGTATTTAGTTGTTGGAGGAGTGTGGTTTTAAAATATTTATATCAGTCATGAGTATATATCACCTCACAGATTTTCCATTTTGATCAACGGTCTTTTATTTTTTAGATGATCCATGTCTCCATCATGTCAGAAAATGCCGTAAACGTCTTAGACCCTTAAATATATGGCTGGTTGTGTGCGATACTTTTTATTTGATCAAGGAGCACGCCTTTTCCCTCAGGTACTTATGAAATTGTTTTCCGGGTCGCATACATGTGCAGCTAGTGAAACGACGGAAGACGCAGGTTTTGCATGCTTGTAATTAAATGACTTTACAAATGGTTTCATCAGAGTCAACAATTATGCATATTTGTTTAACTTTTGTGGGTAGACATAATGATTACGTCCGATGTAACCTACTTTTATTAGTCTTCCATTACGTAATTTAGCTCTGCATGCATCATAAGTGGAGGATAACTTAAGGCATACCTTACTCTTATTTCGAATTGATTATGTTTGTCATATGAAAAGTTTATAGTTGGGTATATGGTATGCTGAGGTAATTTATCTAGGATGGCATCCACTGAGATCCATTGATGAGAAAATCATATCTGACATTCTGAGAAGTATAGCCATCCAAATGGGAGCAGTTTTCAAATCTGGTGAATCAGATTTGTTATTCAGAAAAGATAAAGTGCTAACAGATCCCAGTTTCAAGTTAGTATGAATTTGTGGTCTGTCGTATTTGTAACCATAAAGTGTAAAAGCAATTAAAACAAGCAGATGTGCACAAAAATAAGTTAGCCACGTGTTCTAAGACTTTAGCTTTCTGGAAGTAATTTTAGTGTATGATTTATTCAATTGTAAATTTGATATGCAAGCAGGAGTCAATTTAAAAAAAACTTCATCGATGACTTATCCCATTCCAGGTGTCAAATGCTTGCTAACTTGGGTTACTCTGACCAATAACATGTAAGATAATAACATGGTTCTCTCACTGATGTCAGCTCATGAGGAAATCCTCCAACCAGACCAAAAAAATCCCTACAAATCCAACACTTGAAAATTAACCTGATGGTCACTGGCAACTGGCTCTATTCAGGCTGTGACCTGGGGCCGTAACCAGTAGGGTGCAGCGAGTTGAAGGTAAGGCAGTAACTCATAGAAGACATTGCGAAGTGATCGTGCCATGTCATGGATTGGTAGAAGTTGGAACTCATGGGCTGGTCATTGGATCGGGTCCCAGTGGCTTAATGGTCTACAAACTCTCCAGCCTTGTAACCGGAAGATCGTGGGTTCGACCCCAGGTGGGTGCGTACTGTCGAAGAGTCTCAAACTGGTCTGACGAAACGGCTGTCCAGTATTTTCTGTAGGTTTTCCAATGGTTCTCTAACTGATGTCAGCTCATGAGGAAATCCTCTAACCGATAACATGAAAAGTAGAAAACAATTGGAATGGATAGTAGAAAAGTGTTAATTTTGTATTATTAAATGTCAAATGCTTGCAAAGAAAACTAATATTAATACAGATTTGATATCAGCACACAGAACATTTTCAGAGATTTTCAAGTGAAGCTACATGGATGACAAAAAATTTCCCACATGACTAGACTTTACATTTTTTGATCAAATAAACCTGATTTGTCCTACTGATTTTACGAGAAATGTAGTGAGTACATCAATCTCATTTCAGGGGAACATTCTGCACAAAGTCTTATTTTTATTTACATTTCTTTCCTTTCTATTTCATACATCTCTTGACACAGAATTATTTATCTTACTCTTTTAATCAGTTTGCAAATGCTGTTGCGTCTCCTCCCAAAATCAATTACAACATTATAAAGAAAACAATAAGCTTCTTTAGAATATTAGAGAAAACAAAATTAAGCCATACTATGCAATGTTTGTGGATATGTTCATTGTTCTGGAAGTCTAATGAATTGTTTCACCTATTAGATTAGCAGAAGGAGTTTTAAAAGATGCATAATTCTTTACCTTTTGAAATCGGTATTGATAAGGGAAGCATTTATCAGAGAATCAAAGAAATTAAGGTAAAAACTTTGGGTGGTTATAGAATCGCTGTTTTAGAGAGCTGTAACTACTAAAAGTACTATAAACATGTTTATGGCTTTTACTTTGTTAATGCATAATCACTTTATTAAAATATCATGACTTAACATCAATCGATTAAATTCCAGTCGATATATATATATTTCAAAAACGTTAATCTTTGGCATTTTATAACATCTATTACATATGGATACGGATAATTTGTAAGTAAAATTTGATTGTTTGATAGACCAGTTGATTCTAGGAAAGATGGTATAGTTAATTGAAAATTCATCAAAATACTAACAAAAATCTAATTAAGATTTGGATCAATTTAAAGCCTTGCAAAATAGTGGACTACTTGACTCATTGTATGCTTCGTTAACGTTGAAGGAAAGAGCTAAAAATTTATACAAGAGGTAATCTGAATTGTTAACAATTTTCAAAGTCAACTAAAGCTTCTGCCTTGTCAATTATATTTCATTCATTCTATGTCACTTTTATTATTAATATTATTGTCGCCGTCATTGCTTTTCGGCATATTATTAATCAAAGTGTACAGTTAGTTTTTATATATTTTCGTTTATATGTATATAAGTTTTGTGCAAAGCCGTAAATCATTTGAATAAAAAGAAACCGGAAGTGTTTCATTGAAAATTAGTTCCACATAAATTGTATAGAGGTAACTTGCAGCTGAATGCATATTCCTCATTTTCTCCTGTTTGGCATTTACCAACCGGATCGGTGTGTCTCCAAGTGACTGTCTTCCCTGAGCTGTAACCTAACTCTCACTATCTTTTATGATGAAGTGGTATCCATTTGACCATGATTTGTTTAAAAGACTTGGTATTTTACTTGTTTCCACAGTGCTTTCACTCTCTTGATTTGATTGCAATAAAATATTTGATTTCCTTTGGGATATTGTGTTCTTGTTACTAATTTGGACCTAATTTCGGTGTTCTCATGTTTTAAACACGTCTTGAAATAGATTGCTAGCCAATAATGAATAAGGAATATAAATATTGTATTATTATTGCTCCCTTAGGTTCCTAGTGGAACATAGGGATTCAACTGCACGTCTCCACTTGCTTCTGCCTTCTGCTGTACTTTTCACCTGCATCCATGTAAGTCCATACTCTTTCAATTCCTCTTCACATTGATTCTCTTTAGTGTACACTGACATTTATCTGGAGTGTATTAAAATTATTTGCTTACTTCCTTAGATTTTTGCCACTTGCACTACATATTCTACCCATGTACACAGGGAAATTATTCTCATTTTTGTGAATGTGTTTACTTGGTGGCATCAGCAGCTCTATATTACATGTTACCACCGAAACTTTACTCGATTTTTCATGAAAACAAGAATAATCCAGGATGGATATCTTTCTACTGGGATAGCAGGCAAAGAAAATAACTAGAATCTGTTACTTTTTCGAACGTTTTGGATACAATGGGATGCAAACATATTGAAAACAATTTATATTAGGCAGCCCAAATGAACTTTTAAGATATTTTCATCATTTTTTATGGGATTGTTACTGGCAGTGGACAATGGGGAAGGGAACAGATCACTAGTAGTCCTTCCACTAAGCACTCAACTACCCTTAAGTGGATATGCAGTGTAACTGAGCGGAGTTGTTTTATGTTATCGCACTTTGTATTCTTGATTAGGTGCCTGCTTGGTATCTGTAGTTATGCGCAGTTACTTACAGGCACCCTACTATAAAACTTTCAAGGTTATCGGCCAGAAAGACAGTTTCTTCGTCACCGATAATTTGATTCTTAATCGCTTGATGACAACCATAACCCTATGATCTCTGACTACAAGAAGACACAATGATTCACAACTGTCCGGGGACTTTTGAATGCAATAAAACCGTTATAAAGATACAAAACAGGTGAGTGCAAAACCATATACTGTCTTGAAAGACTGACAGAACTCATCACTTAGTCTCTTGCGACAGGCTTTATTGTTGCGGTTGATGCATTATGCACATAAATGCCACTATTGTGAACGAGGGCTATACTGCCAGTAAACACCCACCTCCTGAAAAAACAAAAAACTTGAAGGTCACGAAGTTGTTAATAGCTGAGAAATAGACAGGACCATATGGGATCCAGAAGCACTGCAAATAATCCGAGACAGCTTAGTGAGAATGCTCACGCTACTTAGGAAGATGGTGTAGAAGGTAGAGAAAGTGTTTGCGGTTATGAACAGCGGCTCTCATGTTAAACTGCCAGAGAATAGACTTGCGCCTACGTAAGAACTGGTGGACAAAACTGGGGGGACATCGTGCCCTTGTTCACTCCTAACAGAATATTAGGCCAGATCATCCTGAAAAGATTAAAATGAACACTGGGTTGAAAAGTTTGTCAGATACAGGCTGGATTCAGGAAAAGTAAGTGACACGTAGGTCAAGTTGCAACATGATACACCACCATAAAAAAGAGACCAGAATCTCAATCAGATCTTTGACTTGAATTCACCTACTTCGAAAAGGCCAAGGATACCTTAGAAAGTGAGGTAATTTGGCAAGTGCTTCAATATTGTGGAGCACAACACCGCGAACATTCAAATACCTCATTAATCAGCTATCCAGTGATCATAAATGCTGCGAAATTCACAACAAAAAGCTCACCAAAGCGTTTGAAATAAAAACAGAAGTATTATAGGGCTCCCTGCTATTACCAGTGATCTTTCTCATTGTAACGGACAGAATCATGCATGAGTGAAGAAACGGCCATGCGTCAGAATTACATAAAAGACTAGAAGATCTTTATTTCGCTGATGATTGATAATAATGAAAACAAAGCAGATATTTTTCCGACGACGCTCTTTTCGGCTCTGAAAACAGTATGGAAATCTACAGCATTTAAAACTTGTAAGGACAAGGATTCGAATTTTCAAAACTAATGTCAAGTCAGTCAGTGATTCTGTGTGGTAGAGAGGCTTAGGCCTTAGGTCCCCGGACAGTTGTGAATCATTGTGTCTTCTTGTAGTCAGAGATCATAGGGTTATGGTTGTCATCAAGCGATTAAGAATCAAATTATCGGTGACGAAGAAACTGTCTTTCTGGCCGATAACCTTGAAAGTTTTATAGTAGGGTGCCTGTAAGTAACTGCGCATAACTACAGATACCAAGCAGGCACCTAATCAAGAATACAAAGTGCGATAACATAAAACAACTCCGCTCAGTTACACTGCATATCCACTTAAGGGTAGTTGAGTGCTTAGTGGAAGGACTACTAGTGATCTGTTCCCTTCCCCATTGTCCACTGCCAGTAACAATCCCATAAAAAAATGATGAAAATATCTTAAAAGTTCATTTGGGCTGCCTAATATAAATTGTTTTCAATATGTTTGCATCCCATTGTATCCAAAACGTTCGAAAAAGTAACAGATTCTAGTTATTTTCTTTGCCTGCTATCCCAGTAGAAAGATATCCATCCTGGATTATTCTTGTTTTCATGAAAAATCGAGTAAAGTTTCGGTGGTAACATGTAATATAGAGCTGCTGATGCCACCAAGTAAACACATTCACAAAAATGAGAATAATTTCCCTGTGTACATGGGTAGAATATGTAGTGCAAGTGGCAAAAATCTAAGGAAGTAAGCAAATAATTTCAATACACTCCAGATAAATGTCAGTGTACACCAAAGAGAATCAATTCCTATACATCACGATTAATTCCTGTCCAGACAAATTTGTCTCTTATGTGCCTGCGATATGTGTCATGTTGAAAAGGTTGTATAGAACATCAAAGACTGGCTCACAATGTGAGGAAGAAACTGTAGACCGTATGCATGCGTCACACAATATCATAACCACTCTGTTCAGTAGCTGAACAGGATTTGTTTAACCCCTACTTCATTACGTTTGAACAAAAACAACTCAATTTTATAACATCAAGGTTACGTCCATCAATCTCTTTGGACTAACTTGGGAGTGACGAATGAGGGGAATGGTAAATACTTTGGCATAATCTTCCACTCAATGTTTTATACATGCCTAAGTGCACCACATATACATATGTCATGTATTCATACAGTCTGAGTATTGCAGATGATTAATTAATTTCGGTACTTCATAACTCCTAATCCTTGTGCAAAAAGAGTTTCACCTAACATGCATCACCTAAGGCACTTTCTTCAGGGTGCTACATATTTTCATCAACACCTGCTTCCGGCGTCTCAACACTAAAATCTGATGTCCTCATGGAAAGGATAAGCAACAAAGGGCCTCTGCAGGCAAAGAGCCAGAGAAGTTTTTATTACCCGACAAATATGCAGAGGGATATGTAGATTGATTGGATATACTCTGAAGAGACCTCTGAGTCACATCACACTCCAGGTCTTCAACTGTAATCCAAATGGGAAGTAATCACATGGGCTTCCTAGGGTCACACGGAGAAGTTTAAATGAAAAGGATGTGAAAATTGCGGGCAATCGTGGTGACAGCTGAAACTGAAGGCAGATAATGAAGTACAATACAGGTGTGCTATAGATGCGCCATGTCCCACTACGAACACAAATAACGAATAATAAATAGTTTTTTAGTGATTAAAGATAAAATTGGAAAATTGCTTTTTGATGCATATAACAGTGTAGCTATTTAATAAGCTCTTACTAAAACAAGATGTCAGTTTTGAAAAGTTACCCAGTTGATTTTTACACTGTGGTTATTTTCCTAGAAAAGTATTTCATTCAGTCAATTCACTGACATCAAAAATATTTACTTTTCATTTCAAAGTTTACATCCCATAATACGAAGGCGTGTTCGAGCTTTGAAAAGAATTCAATATGATGGTTTACAGTTGGAAGTTCAATTTTATAAAGAATTAGCTGAATTAGAAAGAAAATATATGAAACAGTTTGAAAAGTTGTACAGTCAAGTAATTTTCTAAATGTTTAATATTGTTTACTTGACATTCTTTTAATGTGCAACTTGTGTAAAAATATCTAATGAACGTTATTTCATTTATTACTACTACAAAGTTTTGACATGATGCAAACAATTAGAAACTTCTGCCTTCTAAATACTGACGTTTAGCTCTTCATAGACCTGCTAAATCTAATATTCTAACAATACATTCTACAGAAGCAGACGATTTCTTCGAAATCATTATCACTGATTTACATGCTCCTTTAGGCAATTCAAAGGTATTTCAACTAAGTGGTCTAAGTTTGTCCGTATGTACATATGCGTGCTAAACTGAACAACAGATGAAACACATGAAGGTGTTTTTGTCTGAGATCATCTGATTAGTCCTATCAATAAGTATCTACATACATCCTATAAAAATCTAATACTTTAGGTTTTAGTCTAGAACACTGACTGAACATTTCAATTCAGACACGCTAGTGACATCATATTTAAGAAAAACTGCTCTGTTATTTAAAAAATAAAATTGTAATGTCCGTCTCTTCAAAGCCAGTGCTTATTTGACACTGTATACTTATTACATACTACCCAATATGCTAATCCGTAGACTGTTTAATGAGAGAAGAGAACATTTCGTAATATTAAATGCCTAATAACAACCTATAACTGTTAATTTAACACTAACCATGTTCTGTTGTGATCTACGAATTTCAATCCTGGAGATAGAAAAATGGTAGCTGACATTCAAACCTAACACATTAAAGTTTAAATAGGACCATACTATGCACAAAACTCAATCACCACATAGCAGTTCTTTAGGTAATAATTCATATTTTCTTTTTGCGGAGCAAATCAGGCCTTTTGGAAAGTCAGAAGAGGATATCATATAGTAGCAATTGCAGTTAAACGTTCCTAGCCAGTTAGAAAATCTCTTGTTTCAATTTTATGAGCAGTTTGGTGTGGTTATCAAACAACTAAGACTTAAGTCAGTTGTCATTGTATAACTAGTGTAACTTCTTAGATGTATTTTGTTGATAAAGTCTGCTGACAAGGCCTTTGAATACTTTCAATCATTCAATAAACTGTAAGGCCACTGATTTCAGTAATGAATTATTTGGGTGCATCTTTTGGGGGAAACATGATAGGTCCCCAGGACTTTGAATTCATTGTGTCAATATGACTCATCCCAGTGTTTAATAAAATTTAAAAGTTTCGATCATGGATATTTCACCTCTTCCCTGTTTCCTAACTTAATTAAAAACATAGGGTGACTTTACTTGACTTTACAAACTTCCAAATTTATACAGTAGTATAGAAAGGGTAGAATGCGTATTTCTTTTGTTTATTAAATAATGTAACTTGGCCAAAATGCTATTTTAAGTTTATTTTGATAAGGATTACCAGGACAGTTTTAAAGGTTTTCTTTTCAACCTTTCAAAACACATCGAAGTAAATGAGCATCTCAGGGCTTAATGAATTGGAAGCGGACGTCTTCAGGCAGCTTGGTAAGCACTTTATCCTTCATACAACATTTCACGATAATTTGTGTCTTTCAACATACTTACCTTAGCCTTAAAATTCTTTTCCCGATACTCTCAATGAACTATAAAAGTCTTATGTAGAAATGAATCAGCTGTATAATTTCAATAACTTTCAAATAATATTAAGGGAAAATATGATTGTTTTGGTTGTTATTGCTAGTATTCCAATATATCCTTGTTATTCCCATTTTCGGCTGGTGAAAAACATTTAATATTGTAATTTTGACGGAACTGTTTTGACTTTATTGTTTGCTAATATCTGAGAAAATATTCTTTTTTGTGAATAACAGTCACTGAAAAGATACACTAGAAGAAACAGTTGTACATAAAATAACAGAACTATATATGAAAGTATTTGATATTAGAACAAAGAAAGACCGATGAATGAAAATTCACTCCTAAATCAACAGACTGGCTAAATTTCATATCCTTACAAAGAAGTCAAACGCCATAATGAAAAAAATCATTATTATTACATTATTAGTTCCTTTAAGTTACTGTGGGAGGGATTTATATATTTGTTAAAGTTTATGGACAAAATCGTAAGAAGTCAACATTCACACTGTTTGCCAATGCTATTATACAGGCAGCGATCCAAAATTAGCCCTAATTATATGATTGTTGCCATGTTTGCCCTTTAAAAACTGTTGCGGATCGTCAAACAAAAATACAAGTAAGAAACAATTGCCTTTTTCACTCAAAATAAAACTGCCTACTTTTAGCGGTAATCACTTAGCTTTTTAATTCTTTCCTTTCCGAGCAAAGCATAAAGTTCCAAGCTTTTTATGATGACTTAGAATCTGTTTGCTATTTTACTGGGTAAAGTCCATACCTTCACACCGAACCTTTTCACTTTAGTGAGCTTACTACTGACTATTAGTAAACTAAGCAAGATTTAGATATGCGTCAGCCGGGAATCAAACCTAGATCACATGTGTTGTTATATTAAATTAAATGACATTTTTATTCATAGAGTAGGTTAACCGATCCAATATGGATAAAATTCTATTTTGATAAAGTCACACAGTGTTATGCAGTCATATTTCCTAACGACGTTTCGAGCACAATATATTGCTCATAATCATATCAAGGTACTCACAACTTTTTGCTACGTTTATATACATGAATAGAAATTGATGAGACATTTGAATAAATTCAATATAAGACTTGCGTGAAACAGAAAGGAAGATAGAGTACATTCGGAAACAATATTAGTGTTAAAATTTTCAAAAGAATGGATACTGAACAAAGAGTACTCTTTTCGATAAATTCATCATCAGGCTCTACATTTATACATACATTATAGTGAATGAATGAGTGTCTATCAATTCAACTGTGCTTGTGGAGCCAGTTATATTGGTCGTTGCTCTAGGAACTTGATTTATCGTGCTCGAGAACATCTTCCATCATGGCTAAGTAAAGGTGTAGTGAAAACTATTAACAGCTCGATATTGGAACATCTGGTGTAAACAGGACACAAAGCCAGCTCAGATGAATCCTTCTCTATATTATACCGGGTGCCAAATAAATTACCAAAAACATCGAAGCACCGCAGGCTCCAAACAGCAGAGGCTGTTGCGATTCGCCTCAAACAACCAGCACTCTGTGTCCAAAAGAAGCAAGTTCAGCCCCTACTATTGCCCTGGCCTTCAGTAGAAGCTATAAACTTATGAATTTGTACTATTATCTTTCCTAATGTTTCTGACATTCAGCTTATTCTATGTTGATGCGTTTCAGCTGTAATCTATCAATATTATTGATTCGATGTTATTTAAACATTAATGTCGTTCATAACACTAACTCATTCATTCACTATAATGTATGTATAAATGTAGAGCCTGATGATGAATTTATCGAAAAGAGTACTCTTTGTTCAGTATCCATTCTTTTGAAAATATTAGTGTTATCAATAAAATACAATAGGATGTGAAATAAGACAAGTGTTTTCAGTCAATAAGATGATTTTTTAGTCAAATAAATAACTTGTAAGAGTGTTATAATGAGAATTACAGTAAATTTTAACAGTACTTATTATCCTCTTCTGATTTGACTGGCGGTAATAATATCTTCCATATTTCTGGTATTTGCATTGAGTCATTTCTATTGCATGTGTTGGGTGTAGACTTAATGAACCAGGATTCAGTAATCAATCTCTCTCTCCACCTATATAGATCACTTCTTAGAATCTTAACCCTCTCCCAGTCTATTGTGTGTTAATGCACGCAGTGCAATGTAGTGCTGAGCTTTTTTCTAAATTACTCATCTTCTCGGGGTCAACCATTCTTACCTTAGCTAAATTCTTGTGTTCCGACAATCTGATTACCCCCCATCTACTGGTTTGACCTATGCATTTGACTTAACTCACAGTCATTGCAGGGCATTTTGTAAATTATATTATTTTGTCCAACTGGGTCCTTCAGCCTACAGAGCTTGTCGCTGAGTGAATTTGTAAACTTGAATGCCACCCTAATTCATGCTTTATTAAGAATCCTACATAGACCCTCAGATGTCCCCTCCTTATATGGTGGAACAGCAGACGCCTTTTATTCTCTCTTATCATTACTAGTTCTACAATTATTTTGTCTTTTGCTTTTGGCCTTTACAGATCTTCTTAATGAATTTTATAGGATAGTTATTTAACACCAGCGCCTCTTCTATCTGTTTTATTTCATCATATAGGTTTTTTCTTGTGCTAATTGGCGCTATTGCTCGGTTTGTTAGACAATTAACTAAGCCTGCCTTTACAGACAATGGATGAGATGAATTAAGGTCGAAATATGTATTAGAATTCGTTGGCTTTTTATAAACGCTAGTGTGTAGTTTACCTTCTTCTGTTCGTCTGATTCTACCATCTAACAAAGCTAGTTCTCCTTGTTCATTTTCTGATTCAAATGTGAATATTATTCTCTTTACTAGTGAGTTTATATGTGTCAGGAAGCTAGAGATATGTTCTGTTTTTAACACTGTGAAAGTGTTATCCACATATCTCCACCAACTTTTTGGCGTAGGAATAAATGTATTAATACCAATATTTCCCAGCTGTCCATAAATATATCTGCTAAGATAGGGGAATTTAGAGATAGTAGATGTAAGGCATAACTGAATTCCTGAAATAATTTTCCCAATGGGCAGCTCTGTTTTTTGACTAAGTTTGGGATCATCCGTTAGTTCTCTTTTAACTGCTTCTAAGGCCATATTGGAATATTAGTATAAAAACTAACCATTTTTCCATTATTCTATAATTGAATGTCAATTAGTTTCTTTCTCATCTCATATGAATTAGTTAGTGTAGAGCTTCAGCGACATCTAATGGGACATATTATTAGAGCTAAATGTTTTGATAATTCATAGGGAAGCATTTTTCTGAAATCTAATATTGGTTATGTGGGGTAAAATGACTTATGTATTTTTATAATACCATATCTTCTACCAGCATTATTAGTTTTAGGCATTAAATTAAACCATTTGGATTACCCTAGCAACAGCTTCATACTCGTCGTATTTCACATCCTATTGTATTTTATTGATAATACTAATATTATTTCCGAATGTACTCTATCTTCCTTTCTGTTTCACGCAAGTCTTATATTGAATTTATTCAAATGTCTCATCAATTTCTATTCATGTATATAAACGTAGCAAAAAGTTGTGAGTACCTTGATATGATTATGAGCAATATATTGTGCTCGAAACGTCGTTAGGAAATATGACTGCATAACACTGTGTGACTTTATCAGAATAGAATTTTATCCATAATAGAACTATACTCCAACACAGCACTCAAGTTTTATCCCACTTGGTTGTCTGACTAGCGTCCTTTAGTTATCACACAATGAATTATTTCTGAATTTGGATCGAATAAGTATAATTAAGGAACAATCAATCAGAAGTATTCTCCTTCGTTTATTTCTACAATTTCAACTATTTTCATCGTTCACTTCTTAAATTAATGCTGTTACGATGCTGTTGTGGTTATTTTAAAGATGAACGGAAAGATATGACTGTTTGTGTCAGACAAATACAGTGAAATATATCTCAAAATCTGAAGCATCGGAAAGACTGTTGCAGCACACGGGTGCCGGTTATCCCTTCAAACAAACTGTGAATCAGAGAGAAACAAATACTCAGTATCTGTTGATTTTCTAAGTTGGTTTTTTAACAAATAATAATTTTTCTTTTTTAAACTACTGTAAGTAGCTGATATTGTCTTTGAGTGAAATACACTCATTTCCTTTGCGCAACTTTGTATTTAAACAAAATTTAATGAACAATTGTTTTACCAAAATTTTGTTCTAATCATTTTCATTAGCGTCATGCAATTGTATCCGGAACTTATGAGCCCACCATAGAAGAGACAGAATTTTCCCTTAGTCAGGATGACGATGATGACCTAAGTTTGTCATTTAAATCGCCAAAATCAACCAATGAAGGTGATATTGTTGAAGAATCGCAAAATGGTATGTTTACATTACTTCATTGTTCAAACGTAAGTTGAAGCGATCATAAATGGTCATTAATTGAAGGGTGTATGGAGCATTATGCACATATATGTATTTGCTTCATATTAACTCCATTTATTTGTTCCACTTAGTTATATACGTGATTTCATTTATGAAAGTTTTCAGCTGGTCACATGCACCGTGTAGAAACCCTATGGTTCCGATTCACAAGTAATCGTAACCGATATCTCAGAAGATCAAATGATACTTCTGGGAATGGACCACAGTGGGATGGATGTATTTATGTTTATATGTCGTTGTTTCTAACCACTCATCTTCAACCGAGGTTATTATTCTTTCACACTAGATTCTGTGTTGTTTATATTTACTTGCCCTTTACTTATAATTCTGTAAAGTTCAAATGATACAAATGTCTAATTTGAAATTGATGTAAGTGACATTTAGTCTATTTTTACTTATTTATTTTCCTGTACTAAAAGTCATATTATTTTTATAACAATTATAACAACAATGATTCAGATAATTTAACTAAAAATGTACCAGTTGGTATACCAGGATTTTGGTTAACAGTACTGAAGCATTCACCATTAATATCAGATCTCATACGTCAATCAGATTTAGCAGTGTTATATCATTTAATTGACTTACGGTCGATTCCAATTGAAGAAAATGGGAAATCTGTATGTTCACCTTTCAGTAATTACATAATATTTCATCCATGTTATTTACACTGTTATTATTTCTATAGTTATTAGTGTTTTACTTAATCTAGATTTACAAACAATGAAAGAAAACATCGACTCCTTCAACTAAAGCCTTAGATTCCAGGTTACTAAATTAGCCATTTATCAAATAAGCTACTAAGCTTTTAAGTGTTGTTCTGTGAGAATTTGAGTGAGTCCAAGGCAAGTTCCATCAGAAACCACATCATTTGGAGAACGAATGAAAGCAGCAAATGACTGGACATATATTCCGTCCTCGTCTCAGACTCTTCAGGATTTCTGACTCGTAAATTCACCATGGATGAAGGTCAAGACCTTCATGTTTCGAGAGAAGCACGTTATCATACAGCCTTATCTGAAACTTGGAAGAAAATATTACCCAGATTTTCGCTGTTTCCATCGGTTCTTTAGCTGAAGTCGGTTCGTAAAGAAGTGGGCTTTAAACTAATAAATAGGGCTTTTAAATTGGTCCTAATTTCAAACTATAAGGTTAGAATTTGGATAATATATTGAAGTATAGTTCATCCATAGAACAGATGTGTTTGAAAAAAAGCTAAGTGATATAATATTATTTATTGATGTAATTTCGAATACAATTTATAGCCCATAATCATGTCGGGGTGCTCAGATTTTGTTTATACAGTTCCTTTGTTTATATAATTCCACTGTTTATTATCCTTTGATTTTATTGGTGATGACATTTTCCATATCTCCAGTATTGTTACTGAAAGAAAAACTCAGAAATCACCATGCATGTACTAACTCAAAATCACAAAATAGAGTGGGACAGAGCTATGGTTTGAAAAATGAATATAATTGAATGGAGATGAGGTCAACCAGTTATCGAGGAAAACCACTTTAAAACAGGTCATTTTCTAACAAAGTGGTAATCTTAAATTTAGTTTCCAATCCCCTACAGATTTTAGGCTAATTTCACTAGCGTCCTGTTATAAATATTACTCACTCTTAAATAAACCTAGATGCACTAAATAGCTCTACGAACAATGGGTACACAGTTAAAAGTATATATATATATATATATATTGCTGATTCTAATTGAATTATGATTAGATTTAGATAGTGCCGTTAAACAGTATTGAGTTTTCGTTCATTGTTAAAGTTCGTGAAAATTTTAAAATATAATATATTTACAATATATCTATACTGTAGGGATTTCAGTTAGAGTTTGAATTTGAAACAAATAATTTTTTCACGAACAATATTCTGTATAAACGTTATTTCATGGATTATGACGTTAAAAATGACAATCCATTCAGTTATGATGGACCAGAAGTAAACTATTCAGAAGGGTAAGTATCACTAGGGCTTATTCATTAGAAACTTCTCTTCTTAATTCTAAAAGTGTATAAGTATGTACTTATTATTACAGGTTGCTGAAAGTCACTGTTTTGAAAGATTTCTATATTCTTAACCAAATAAATAGCACTTTCAAACAGCAAAATGTATTTCACTGACCAAGACTATTAGATAGGTTATCCATTTAATGATAGCATAAATCCAAACAATTACTTTGAACAACCATACCGAATGATTACACACTTAATTAAGTTTCACGAGAAATTATAGAAGTTCATTTGGTGATTATTATTATTATTTTATCCTTTAATTCCTAGAGGAACGCAGGGCTTCAGCCGCGCTTCTCCATTGCGTTCTGTTTTTATGCCAACTTTTTCACCCCGCTCCAAGTCTGCCCACATGCTTTCATCTCCTCTTCACATGACCTCTTCCAAGTCACCCTTGCACTGACGACCAACTTGCCGCTTCCCTTTCGGGTTCCACTCGAGCAATGGCTTGTCTAGTGATGTCACTTGATGGTTTCCTCAGAGTATGGCCAATTCATCTCCATTTCTTCCTGCCTATTTGTTTCACAATCGATTCCTGGTTGGTTCGCTCATTTCCAGAGATCCCTGTTGCTGATCTTTTCTGGCCGGCCATCTGATCTTGAGTATTGAGCGAAGAAAGCTATTGATGAAGGTCTGTAGTTTGCTTGAGATGCTCTTTATGACGCGCCAAGTCTCTGATCCGTATAGCAAGTAGCACTGACTTGACATTGGAGTTGAAAATCCGGATCTTATTTTTGATGCTGAGTGCTGTTGATCTCCTTCACATAGACTAGAGAGTAATGAAAGCTTGCCTTGCTTTTCCGATCTTTGCTTCGATATCCTCGTCAGTCCCGCCTGTAGTTGAAACGATGCTTCCTAGGTCGGTAGGTAAAGGAGGTTGTTTCTTTCAGGCTCCTCCCATTTATGCTGACTGATTGTTGTCTGTTGTTGTTGCTGGTGGTGTTGGCCAGGAATCTTCATCACCTCTAATTTTTCTATGTTCACATTAAGTCCTATCTTTGATGCTTCTTCTGCCAACTTGTTGCTTTTCACTTGCATATCTTCCATTGTGTGGGAAATCAGACATATATCATCGGCGAAATCCAGATCTTCCAAGATTTTTGTGTGAGTCCATTTTATGCCTGTTTCCTCGTTGGCCGTTGTCTGTCGTATTATCCAGTCTACTGCAATCAGGAAGATCACTGGCGATAATAGACAGCCTTACCTTACTCCCGTCCTCACTTCGAAGGATTCCGCGAGTTTCCCGTTGTGGATTACTTGACATGCAGCATTGTCGTACAACTAACTGTTGGATGAGATGTATAATTGTCGATGGGACCCCGTAGTAGCCAAGTAGTTGCCAAATCACCTCTCGATCGACGGTACACTATCGAAGGCCTTTTCAAAGTCGATGAAGTTGAGATAGAGAGGTGACTTCCATTCCAAGCTTTGTTCAATGATGATCCGTAGAGTGGCGATATGATCAATACATGACTTGTTTCTCCTGAATCCAGCTTGTTCCTGTCGAAGATTTTCATCCAAGGCTTGTTTGATTCTCTCCAGGATGATGCGGCTTAGTATTTTGCTTGGAATGGACAGGAGCATAATTCCGCGCCAGTTTTTACATTGACTTAAGTCTCCTTTCTTTGGTAGTTTGAATAAATATCTTTTCTTCCAATCCTCAGGTACTCTGCCCTCTTTCCACACCTTCTCCAGTATTGGCATCATCACGTTCGCTGTTGTCTCTGGGTCCATTTTCAATGCTTCTTCTGGGATTCCATTTGGTCATGCTGCTTTTCCAGCTTTTAGCATCTTGATTGCATTCAGGACTTCTGATTTCGTCGTGGGGTCAATGTTCGTGATAAAACATTTCATTTAAGCCCATTAGATACATTTATTTAGTTTCCTTCATTTATAATTCTTGGTGTGATTTTCCTACACATATTGGTCATTCGTTACATATACAGCGAGAAATATACCTATGATAAGATTACTTTGACTGAAGTGGCGATTTTTGTAGGTCAGTGTTTGTGACTATTTTGTTGAAATCACAAAATGAAATAGTGTAATGAGTTTCAGCAAAAATAAGATGGAATATTCTTTGAAAATTGTATTGTGCATACATTATTTGTAAATAGTTAAATAGTGGTAGATTCTTAGCAGTAGAAGTGGGATACTGTGGTAGAATATTACTTCATATTATACGTTTATTTGATATATATCAAACAGATGCTTATTCAGTCGTGAAATTAGTCAGACCAGTAAGTTATAAAACTTAAAAAAGAAATCAGAAAAACGGAGGAAACTTGACTACTGAATAACTGCCAACTAGGATTCATTTAAAAGTTGAATAAAAGCAATGGCAAAAATAGATATAGTAATATAAACAAAATGAATGTCATGCCTCAGTAGTGCTAGTGTAACAACAGAAGACAAGGGCGAAGCAACAGATCGTTTTATTATGAAAATCAACACGTATTTATACATCTTTCAACTACATTATTATAGACAAGCGCAGTCATCTGATTGGTTGTTTAGGTAGACAAACGCAGGCTTCTGATTGGTTGTTTCGGGATTCCTTGACAAATAGAGTTCTCTATCTGCGAATCATATTTTGCCACGTTAACTTTGCTGTGATTGGTTGTTGACTCAGGCTTGTTCATATTTTCTCACGGCCCATATTAGTGACCTAGACCTTAACGTAGATTAGTGCCAACCAATCGGCTAGCAGCCTGCTCTCACCACACTCGTCCCCCCGTCAAATAGCTTCGTGCGCAGACGTTCCGACCTTCTGGGTGCTACATCCTCTAGTTGAGGATTGTTACTGACCGGCTTGTCCCACTGTACCCATCTTTGGAGCTGACTGGCGTTAACTCGTTTCTGTTTATCACCTCTTCGGATGGTATATACTTGACCCCGTCTTTTTGTGATTGTGTATGGTCCTTCCCACTTTGGAAGGAGTTTCCGTGAACCTAGCCCGCCTCCAACTGTATATCTCCTGTCTCTACACTTCACTTGGTCCCCGACTGCAAAGGTAATGCACTGCGTCCTTTCTTTCATCTGAGACTTCATGACATCACTGCGCTGCTTCCGTATTACATTCTTGACTGCCTCTTTCCTCTCTGCTTTTAATTTCGTCGTACTCCACTTTTGGTGCATGGGCCAGGTCTCATTGTGTACCGGTAATCGTGGTTTTCTACCATACATCAGTTGGAAGGGTGACTTCTTCGTTGTTTCCTGAGTGGTAGCGCGATGTGTTAGTAAAATCAGTGGAAGCTCCGTTTCCCAGTTCCCGCCCTTCGAGGCCAGCCACTCCTTCAGTGTACGGTTGTTTCTCTCCGTTAGGCCATTCGTTTGTGGATGGTATGGGGTCGTTCTGATCCTCTTGATGCCCAGCTGTTGCAAACGGGAAGTAAACTCTTCACTCTCGAAACAGGGACCTTGGTCTGTCAGTATTGTCTTCGGTACGCCGTGGTCTGCAACAATGTGTCTAACTACTGCATCTGTCACGGTTCTTGCACGTTGGTCTGGGATTGCTACGGCGTCTACCCATCGTGTCGCGTGTTCCGTCATCACCAAGAGGTACTGATTACCATTGGATGTCTGAGGAAATGGACCCATGACATCTACGGACCACAAGTCACCTATCGCGGTAACTGGAATCGACTGAAGTGGTGGTCGTATACACCGGTCACCTTTCATCAGCTGGCACCGTGGACATCCAAGTACGTATCTTGCTACGTCTTCTCTCATACCTGGCCAGTACATACTTTGTCTTAGGAGATCGGTCGTTCTGGCCACGCCTGTATGCGCTAGCTGGTGACATTCTTCTATCATGTCGTGGCGCGACGATTGAGGTATGACAGCCAGCCAGCTTCCGTCGTTCTCTCGCCAGGTCAGAGTCCCGTAGGCATTCACTCTGAGTCGATCCCTCTGTCTGAGTAGTGTGGTTAGCTCCTTACTCGCCGTAGTTTGATCCACTTCTATTCCGTTGGTGATCACCTGTATTACTGTATTCAGCGTATCGTCCAACCTCTGCCTACGTGCAAGTCTTAGTGGGTCTTGTTCTACTGCATGCACTCCGTAAGCGACCTCGGGCAACTCAGACTCATCTTCTGGTCTCGATAACAAATCTGCCAAGACATTTTCACTTCCAGGAACGTGTGAGATCGTAAAATCGTACTCCTGAAGACGCAACATCCACCGTGACAACTTCCCCCGTGGGTCTCTCGCTGTCTTCAAAAATTGTAGCGGCTTATGATCAGTTTCGATGTGGAACCGCCGGCCGAGTAAATAAGGTCTCCATTTGTCGACTGCCCATACCATTGCTAAACATTCTTTTTCTATCGTTGAATACTTTCTCTCTGCGAGTGTCAAAACCCTACTGGCATACTCAACGATTCCCTCGTCCTGTCTTAGGACCGCACCTATAGCGTAGTCACTGGCATCTGTGCACACTGTGAACTGTCTTCCTGGCACAGGTAGTTTTAGCGTCATTTGTTGGTGGTCGAGCAGCTGTTTAATTCTGTCGAATGTCCTCTGCGATTCTTCCGACCAAACAAACTTTGGCTCACCTAGTAGCCTGTATAGAGGGGCTGCTATCTCATTGAAGTTCTTCACGAAGCGGCTATAAAACGCTGCTCTACCCAAGAATTGTCTCAGTTTTCTCTTTGAATTCGGGGCTGGAATCGTTTTAATCGTCAAAATTTTCTCCGGCAGTGGTTTAATCTCACCATTTCCCACTTTATGTCCCAACAGAGTAACATTCTTTTTGGCTATCTGGGACTTGGTTTTGTTGACGCGTAGTCCAAACTCTTCGATGCGTCGCAGCACGGCTTCTACATGGTTGACGTGATCGTTTTCGTTTTGACTGTATATGACGAGATCATCACCATAAACCTCCACGTTTTTCAAGTTCCTAAGTAATAGCTTCATCAGTCGTCTGAACGTAAACGGTGCACCTGCTAGTCCAAACGGCATGCGTTTAAATCGATATTGTGTCTGACCCACGATGAAAGCCGTCTTATCTCTATCACCTTGTTTTATCGGTATCTGCCAGTATCCTGAGCGAAGATCGAGAACCGAAAACACATTCGCACCTTGTAGGCGATCTAAAGTTTCTACCACTGTTGGCATGGCACACGGTCTTAACTCTGTCATACTGTTTAACTGTCGAAAATCAACACAGAATCTATACTTCCCATTCGCTTTTTTTACTAACAGCACTGGAGAGTTGTACGGGCTATCAGCTTCCTCAATAATGTCATCTTTTAACATCTCTTGCACTTGTCGCTCCACTTCGCCTTCCAGATGACATGGAACTCTTCGCGTTGTAAATGACCTTACTTTCGGATCACTTAACGGAATTTCATGATTCACCTTATCGCAATAACCGTATGGGTCGCCATCTCCAGTGAACAGATGATCGTATTTACTAATTAACTCTGTCAATGACAACTCTGTCATTGTAACTCTGTCAATGTAACAACAGAAGACAAGGGCCAGGCAACAGATCTTGAACGCCACTCAACTGCGCAGAAGCCTTGAAGTCCTGCCCGAAGATTCATATGTCTCCATCAAAAACTGCAGGGTATAGGCTTTTCATTTGTCGGTAGGCAGCGACACCAAATGTAACAACAGAAGACAAGGGCGAAGCAACAGATCGTTTTATTATGAAAATCAACACGTATTTATACATCTTTCAACTACATTATTATAGACAAGCGCAGTCATCTGATTGGTTGTTTAGGTAGACAAACGCAGGCTTCTGATTGGTTGTTTCGGGATTCCTTGACAAATAGAGTTCTCTCTGCGAATCATATTTTGCCACGTTAACTTTGCTGTGATTGGTTGTTGACTCAGGCTTGTTCATATTTTCTCACGGCCCATATTAGTGACCTAGACCTTAACGTAGACTAGTGCCAACCAATCGGCTAACAGCCTGCTCTCACCACACTAGTATATGATAAAGTAAGATCAGAAGCATTGCTATTAAGGCTGGAATTAAAGTAGCATTTAGAAAAGCCAACTCATGCTGGGACAGAATTCGTTGGCTTAAGGACCCTTTACATCCAATTGAAAAATAATTCAGTTTAGCAGATGTTATTCAGTGGCTGCGTGGTCAAGTATAAGCAGTTAAACTGGTAGGTTATCATTAATTATATTATTTGGACTGTAAATTTAGTTACAGCTATAATGATTAGCCGCCCATGCACATGGTCCGAGGTTCGATCCCCCACCGACGCACACCCGATATCTGTGGTCGGCCTGCAAAATTTGGGCTACCGATATCACATGCTGAAAATGTCATACTTGTACAAAACTGTGGTGTGGAATTTAGCTGTAATCAAAATAAAAATACAAAAATAACCTCGAAAAAAGGTCGATCCATTGCATGCATCGGCATGTAATGACACAGTCGGATAGGATACAGTAAAACTGGTAAAAAGTAATAGAATTAGGCAGAGAACGGGATAAATCACCCGATCTTCATTCATCGAATCAACACAATCGCAGTCTAAACGATGCAAGCCTGTACCGGAAATGTGGAATATTGCAAAGAAAATATAGGAGAGAGTGAAGCTATATAAAGAAAGTAGGGAGGTCGTGTTAGTACACTGGTATGATTATAGGCAACAAATTGCATTCGGAATGTTATGCACTTATTAAAAATGTATCACTATGTATTATAACAAATAAACTTAAAGTCATTTGAAGTCCTGTCTTCCCTGCTTCTTCAGGTAGCTTGTTGGTTTTCGTCAGCAGATCTTCGAGTTTGTGTGATATTAGATATAAATCATCCTCAGAGTCCTCTTGAATCTTCTTGTTGTTCCGATGAATACCTGTCTTGCCACAAGATCCAGTCCACCACAATAAAGAATATTATCACTGATAGTAGTCAGAGTTGTCTTACTCCTGTCTTTGTTTGAAAAGCTTTGATGAGCTTTCCGTTGTGATTTAATTTGCATACGTAATTGTAAAATAGCCGACAAATGAAGTTTTTATGTTTGAGGTAGTGCATCTCTTAGGGTTGAAGCGGTTGCCAAATTACTTCACTGTTTACGCTGTTGAAAACGTTTCCAAAACAGGTGAGGCTGAGGTATGTAGCTTACTGCCATTCTTGGTTGTGTTCGATGATGATGAGCGGTGTTCCATACTAGTCTTAGCACGGCTTATTTTTACTGAATTCAATTTGTTCGGGAAGAAATTCTCCATCTGAGACTTCCTTTCAATAAAATGTGGATTTATATTCTGCTTGAGTTGAATAAATAGGTGTATGGCGGCACTCCTTTTACTACTTAGGGTTAAGTCATCCTTCTCCAACATTTTGATGAAGTAACTATCCTTCCATTTGGCGGATATTTTTCACTCCCTCCGAACCTATTATGGTCGTAACCTCAGCATGTCTACTGGGGTGTGCAGATCAGTTTTCACTGATTTTAGGTGGATTCCATACGGTCTTGATCCTCGTTCTTAGTAACCATAGAGTCTTAAAACCTTTGTTTTGTTGAGGGATTATTCCTGGACAAGAGGTAGGTGACAGTCCTCTGAAGTGGTCAGTTAAGCCCACCTAAGCGGGTGGCTAAGCTGCTCTTAACACCATCCCAACTAGGGAATTTAGAGTGACACACTTACCCTTGTTCATGGGTGTATTCACTAATGATGGTATAGAAACAATATGTAGATACACAATCAAATCACAACATCATAACCACATTTTCGTTCTCTTGGAAATCCAGTTGTCTGCGGAGACTCCATTAGCAAAGATAAGAAAAATGATGGTCGAATGTGAAACGTCTGACTCCTAGTTGAATTCACGAATTTCTTTATACTTTACAATCTCTTCAGATGTGTTTATCCACGATTCCAATCGGTGTCTAACCTAGAATTGTGAGCTCTAACAACGGCCATTTTCCCTTGATATCTGTTAGTCAGAAGCTACAAACCTGTTATAGGATAGTGCTTTCAAAGCTTCTCAAAGCATCAAAGAGTATTCCCCTATTTCAAAATTTCCTTTTTTATTTATTGACTCCATTTATTTAGAAAGACCGGAAACCCACACTGATGCATATTTGTGGGAGATTCCACCTCACTGAGTATTTTTGCATTATTGTGATATGAAGATTGAACAGAATTTCCAATGTTTATTATCAGAAATCAATAATATGCTAACTAATTTGTAGGATTTCCTACGAGTATTTAAATTAATCAGTTTGCTATCTTCACTTTTTTCCCAATTTATTCTACTTATTCTTCAAATGCTCTTACACAGATGTCATATTGATTGGAGACCAAATAAAAACGTAATGGTGCAAAATTGCCTGAAAAAATATCAAAATAAACCCAAAATTGAGAACACTTATTCTTTCCCACAGTATCAGGTTTCAGCGATGGGTGTGACAACTTCAACATCTTCATCTACATTATCCTTAAACGATGAATCATTTTTTCAGTTTTTCAGTATTTCTAATCAAGGTAATAAATACGTGGGGGTTGCTTATTCGATTCATTCTAAACAATTTTTGCGTTGATTTTTCTTAGTGACACACTATTAATTGTTAGTGTACACCAAAGCTTGAAAGCTAATAAGGGCAACAAAAATAAAAGTGATTTATGATTTTTGAGGTAGATGAATGATCTACTCACTTGTCAGTACAATGAAGCTCACTGGTCTCATGTTTGTAAGATTAAGCTATACAGCATAAAAATGAAAGCTAGAAGACATGATTATTGATGACGAAAGTGTCTCAGTTTTTTCATCATGAGTGACTGACTATCTCTCTGGCGTCACATAGTGTTGAAAATGGAAGTGAGAAATACACCACTCCAGTTTTTCCTGACTAACATTGTTGGCTGAACCTGGGTCAGTTCGAGATATTTTAAAGTTTAAACTAGTCTATAAAGTCTATAAATGACTTTATAATTTATGTTTGCAAATGTATGTTGCTTTGTCATTATTTTCAGGTTGTTGAGAATCAGTGCTCGATAACTCGTGACAAATTTGTAGGGTGTTTTATTTATAAAGCATATGTTCACTTTGTCTGCCTAATGATCTTAATATCTTCTTCAGTCATATCTTCTTGCACACACAGTTATGTCAACCATCAAGCCATGCAATTTCTGCCTACTTCTTATTTATAATCTGTTATAATGAAATCCAAACTGATTAGTTAAACATATTTTGTAAGTACGGATTTTTAGAATACATATGTATGTAAAATTCTACCGTGATGTGTTTTCTAATTTTCAGAACAAAGGAACCTATTGTAAAAAGTTACTGAATATCTTAGTAAACCTTATTAGAAGACATGAAGTTGTGTAGAATACTAAGACGTGTTCAGATGATTTTATCTCTAAAAATATATTCTGAACATCAGTTTTAGTATCACCTCTGATATCGCTTCATAAAGCAGAAAACACGTTTTTGAAAAATGAAACAAATACACAGAAATAGACGTCTTATATTGAATATGGTAATGAAAATAGTAGTGGCCTTATTCTGGACTACATTCTCATTCACCGTACGGAATATTCATAGTGTCTTGTTGTATAACTTTAATGGAATTTTCTAAAGCAAATATTAATAATTTAGAGGATTTCATTATGAGCTTACATCAGTTAGAGAACCATTGGAAAACCTACAGAAAATACTGGACAGCCGTTTCGTCAGACCAGTTTGAGACTCTTCGACAGTACGCACCCACCTGGGGTCGAACCCACGATCTTCCGGTTACAAGGCTGGAGAGTTTGTAGACCATTAAGCCACTGGACCTGATCCAATGACCAGCCCATGAGTTCCAACTTCTACCAATTCATGACATGGCGCAAACACTTCGCAGTGTCTTCTTGTATGAATCACTGCCTCACCTTCAACTAGAAGGTCGTGGGTTCGAACCCTGGCGGTAAGTGTGTGCTGCTGAAGAGTCCCAAACTGGTCTGACGAAACGGCTGTCCAGTACTCTCTGTAGGTTTTCCAATAGTTCTCTAACTGATGTCAGCTCATGATGAAATCCTCCAACCAATAGAAAAAATCCCAACACTAATACTTGAAAATAATAATAAAACAATAATAGCTTTTTGACTGACTACTGTTTAATCTGAAGTACACACTTCAACCTCCACAGCATTTTTCTTTTATTAGAGCAAATGTCTAAAAGTAAAGGTGGATATGGATTATATATCAACTGAGTAACTGAACAAAAGAAATAATATGAAGTAAATTTAACTAATGCCTCTGTGGTATAGCAATAGAATGCTCGCCAGCAACGCAAGTAGTTCGGGATTCTATCCCAGGCCGACTTATTCCAAAATATCTCTAAACCAGAAGTAAGACCGTTTAAGGGGGAAGGTTGGGTGTGAGGACCTATCTTATAAAATGAAAGAAACCGCTGCTGTCAAAGCTTCAAAGCACAAGCTTGAATCCCTATTTTCCACTGAGGACTCAAATTTACTGAATAATGCTTGACGGAGTACTATACAGTCTAGCGATTTTAGTAGGCCTTGGTTTCGAGTCCATACTGATACTGAACCACCAGTAGGGAGAAAATATATCATAGGAATACTAATATGGAAAAAATATTGACAAATAATCTAATAATAGTTATTATAAAATGTTTCTCCTATAAATCAATAGCAGTTATTTGTACATTCCATTCAAAAGATTGTGATAATTTGTGTTTACTCATTCAATTACTTCCTAATTACACTATACAACGCGCTAATCTACTGTAGAAACATTCATTTGTATGGGTTGAACAAATTTAGTCACCTTTTAATTAACTATCTCTGACTACACTGTTTTTTTTCGAGATAGAACCTCGTCAATAGACTGATATTAATCAAATTTTAAGAAGGGATTAAATTATAAAAATCAGCTGGTACTAAAGGTAATCAGTTAGCTTTTGATGTCAGAGTAAACTGAAACAAATTTTACGATGTTTGTTACAATTATGAGATAGTATCTGTTTCTAAGTCAGTTAACAGTGTCAATATATTTCTAGCCAATGTTAAATATAATGGTCAAAGGATGAATATGTTAAGAGATCATTAGTGAACACTAAAGGCTGAAGTCCTAACAAGACGAATAATATCCAGAACTTGGTTTTTCATCATCCATCAGCTGAACTGACTTCATAAGGATATCTGTAATATTAGGCATTTTCAGCATTACAAAGAATCATCCCTTTTCAGTCTCTCTCTCTCAAAGAGAACTTAGAGACCTTAGTAACATCACAGACACATTTGATTTTTGCCTTCATTGTAATAAAATGTTCACCCGCCTAAAACGATTGGATACAGACAGCTTATGATCTAAGTTTACAGGAATTCATTGAAAGGACTGTCCGGTATCCTCTGCATTGCATTTATCTAATGACTAATGTTAATTCTTTTTTAAAAGTGATTTCAAACTACTCATTTTCTCATAAACCTAGAACGGATTTGCGTTTTGGTAAGTTACATTGCTTTTTTAGGTATGCAGTGGTAAAAGTGAGTGAACTCCGACATCGGAGCAACATCTCTAGATTTTATTTTGGGAATGAAATTTCGACAAAATTTAGGTTTCCCTTCAATGTCTTCTTTCTAAACGTTTGAACGTTTATATATATATATATAACTTTTTTTTAATCAGGTGGACAACCTTTACCTGTTATACTTTAAACTAAGGTGTCAAAAATGGCTAATCTACTAGCTTTTTAACGAAGCTATAGATTTGGTAGACAGAATCTGATCAATTTTCAAGACTAGAAATAATGGTATTGGTTACTTTCTGATGAGAAATCACTTTAATGAAGAACAACTCGGTAAAAGCTGTTGTGCATTTGATGATGTGATATCCTGAAGTTCCGATCCAGCACTTACTCTTCAAAAGTGCAAATCCAGACCAAGAGTGGTGCGTGTGCTTGCATTCAGTAACTTTATATCACCATTTTCTGTCTGTCTGTTTTCGACATAGAACTTTGCACTGATGAGCGACAGTTCGAGTCGCCACACTCCATATAGCACACCGTTTTACTCTAGATAAACGTCTTTCGTAATTGGAGTGGATGTTGTAAAATAATTGTGGTAACTTTTGCTGCAAATTTCCCATAAAACTTATAAAGTAGATACACTATATACTTCATCGTATCTTGTGACACAACTCGGGGACAGATACAACAAGTCTCGCACACTAAAACAAGGAAAAAACATTAATGTCAGTTTTTGGGAGCATCAAATTATTGGTGTAAAACCAAAGAGATTGTGATAATGTGAACTATGTAAACACAGTGGAGCAGATTAGTACACTTATTTGTTCTCCGGAAACAGTAATGAATAGAACAAAGATGGAAAATCAGTAATAACAGGAAAGATATTTGAGGGAGTTAATGGTTAAAAGGAACAGTTATGCCCTGTTACACCAATGCATTAATTGGTTTCAAATCAAAGCTTAGCCCCTTATCATTTAGAAATCAGATATAAATATGCCGTAGAGCTACTGATTTACAGTATAATTTCTAGTACCGAGGCGTGGATATTCATGGAAGTTAAGCAACAGTTTTTCATCTAACAATATGTCAACAGGCATGTAGTCCAACAGAGTAAAATCGATAGTCAGAACCAAGTTGTTGTACCTCAGCTGTTACTAATTATTTATCCGATTCATTAACTTGCAATGACAACAAAACGGACATTAAAATTCAATGCATTTACAGAACGCGGAAGATAAACAATGATTTACCTGACAGATTAATGCAAATAATCTTGTAGTAAAAAATTGTTACAAATGAGTAACAAACCAGTAATTACTACCACAGTGTGATGGGTCAGTCTTATGTGTTGTAATTATCCAACAAGCTATAAAGGCTGGCATGAGTGGTTCTGCAGTTTCTGAAACACCAGAAAATAGTTATGATCACAATGTGATTCTGTCTGAGCCTGAGGGTGATGTAAAGTGTCTGAGGGATAGGGATATTATGACCAATACGTCAGCAATGCTGTTTTTGTTCTCTAGGGAGGCAATAAGAAATGTGGGCTCAAAAATTATGCATATCGACTTACTTTCTATGGGTCTGCAGCCGGTGGTAAGGTCCTCTGGGAATAAGAAACTTTACACTCTCCATACCCAAAACAGGTTTGTGCAAAGCTACCTACCTTTGATAAAGTAGAATATGATGAGTTCAAACACACTTAAGGTCTGAAGTTAGGTTTTAGTAGAAGCTAAGAACATCTATAGAGTACTTAAAAAGATATTTCATTCCAGATAAGTGTATGATTTAAATTGGTTTTAATAATATTTACTAATAAGTAAAAGAATAAAGTATGGTACACTACATTATGCTTATCTAAGGGTCAGTTAGTCCTTGAAGCCTTTATAAATTACCTCTGTAATCGAAGCCTTATCTTCCAGTTGACTGGATGATTGGATTCAGATACGTTATTTAAAAATTTCAATTTTTGAGAAATTTCCGGTCATCATTTTTCTATTGAATTTCTAGATTCGACATTTGTTAGCTCTTGTTTGACTGATATTTCAATGCCATTCTGCTGTTATATTAATGTATTTTGCACCTTGACGCCAGGGGTGTCATTGATATATAAGTCATTAATTTTGCTATAACTGTTCAGTAAGTGAGCACATTTTGCGTCCTGTGAAAAGTTATATATGACACCAATCAAACAAGTTAGTATTTGGCTTGTTGAAAAATTCGTCATTATTTTTACTACTTCGTTGAATGACTTTTGAGGATGGATTTTGAATTCATTTTGAAGTCACTAATTTTGGACTAAAGATTTTGAGCTTTTAGGTTGATTACTTGAATTTAATTAATTTTAAGTTTGACCAAGGACTAGTAGTTTGACAACAGAGAGTTTCATCCACTGTTACATTATTTTTAACATTTGGTGTTATCGTCGATTTAAATTCACTGTGGCAGTATTCTCAAGAAAAAGCATTCCATAACAATCAATAATAATCCATTCAACGACAAAATAAGCCCTCTTTGAAGCACAATGAAAGAGAAGAAAATACAAATATGTATGAGTTTATGGCAGTACTTGAGAACAATACATGTCAACTAATACTAATTTAGTGGTTCATCTTTGCAAAATACTTTAAAATACATTACCTAGTAGTTATTCCGTTTTTCGAAGAGATGAGAAAAGTACTTAGTTGTATTCTCATAACATAAATGTAGAAATATTTTTGGAAAACGAACAATGAAATTCAATTCCTGGGTAAAAGTGACTATTGTATTAGATGGTGTAGATCAGTTGGGTCTTTCCCTGGGTTCAGATTTTCAACATAAGTATTTTTATTTGAGTATTTGTGATCTAGTTTTTCAGTCATTTCCGTTATTCTTTTGTTTGCGAAACTGACTTGAACTCACTATCATTATAACCCTCTGCCATACACAACTTATTCAGAAACATTAGTTATAATCATATGTAGTGTTATGAAATTTTCGGCTTCAAACCACATCAGTGATCATGCCTGTCAAAAATAAATGGGGAAGTATAATAATATAGGATAGTTTGAATTTCACGGTAATGCGTGAACTTTGACGCCACATATCAACGCGATATAAGATCTAATACATTGCCAAAGTCAGTTCAAACCAAAATTGCAATCAAAAGATTAAGCAAGCTATCAATAAGCTCCAACGTAAAAAAATCATAATAGTAAATATTCACAACCGATTCATCAATAGTGAAATCTACTGCATTTAGGTTACTTTATCAGTGTAATAAAATTCATAAACAGCAAACGATTATTTAAATTTAGTCGATTCGGACTAGACAAGGAGAAGAAACGGGTTATTTATTTCAGGCAATTCTCATTTCTTTTCAAGTGCTGGTTTGTAGGGATTTGATTGGTTTACAGGATTTCATCATGAGCTGACATTAGTTATAGAACCACTGGAAAACCTGGGAGTACTGGACAGCTGTTTCGTTCTAGTTTGGGATTCTTCAGCACTACGCACCCAATCAAATCCCTACAAACCAACACTTGAATATCAATGATATGCTCACTAGCGACTTGCCCTATTCAGGTAGGTAATTACCTGGGGTCCTAGTGAGAAGTCGTGGACAGTAGGGTGCAGCTGGTCGGGTGTGACGACAAATACTCGCCGAAGACATTGGATAGGGGGTCGCGCTGTGTCGTGAATTGGCAGAAGTTAGAATTCATGAGCCATTGGATCGGGTCCCAATGGCTTAATGGTATACGAGCTCGCCTTGTAACCAGAAGGTCCTGGGTTCGAGTACCGGTGGATGTGTACTGATGAAGAGTCCCAAACTAGGACGAAACAGCTGTCCAGCACTCCCAGGTTTTCCAATGATTCTATAACTAAGGTCAGTTCATGATGAAATCCTGTAATTCTCATTTCTAGTTGACTGGCTTATATTGAGCCTTAATGTTCGATCTCTTTTGACATGTCAACTCATTGAACAAACTCCTCCATGATGTCTGGAGATCAGCATAATGTTACTTGGTTGAGGATAAGTGGTAGCAGAGTCCAAGATATTCATTTCGTCCTATTTGGCATTTTTCAACTAGATGTGCCTGCATCACCGTTGGTGATGGTGCTCTTACTATGACAGAGCATTTAGGCTCAATATAATCAGTCAGCGGGATCTTAAACGAGTAAGGACTGATACCTGTTGTACAACAGGTAGTTCGTGTGGCCCAATGGCCTAGTCGATAGTGCTTTAGAGTTGAAACGATGTGTGTTGGATTTGAGTTGCAATGAGAACATGGTTACTCTCTGTGAATGTAGGGGTATCCAGATAATGAATCGTAAACAAAAGATGAAACGCACTTCTTTTAAATGACTACTAATCACTATTAACAAAATAAGAGGAGATTGAGGTTAAATTTTCAAGAGAAATCTCACTCGCCATCTTCCCATGAAGCTGTAGTGAAATTAATTAATAGCGGACCGTTGAATCTCATGCTGCTAATATGTATATGTATGTACAGCACACGTTAGTAAACAACCATGTTATAAGTTACAATCATTTTTAATTGTTTCATATTATTTTATTTGATTGTTATTATCATTATTTTTCAGATTTATCAAGAAAAACAAGTGTAAGTAAATGCAGTATTGTTATTTATGATGAAACAAATTTCTAAATAAGTTAAGAGATTAGGCTTTTCAAACTGTCGCAGGAAAAGTATAATTTGTAAATGTGTACATCTGGGGCGTTTGATATATTAATGATATGAAAACATTTCTGGTATCTTCCATAAAAGGTATAAATTTCCGAAATCACTAGATGACGTCCTTGTCTTTGCCAACACTGAATCGCAACCTTGGTTTCAGTGCTAACATTTAGATTATCGTGAAACATTAATTATATGAAACTGATGGATCTTCGAGGAATATAATGGGTTTTCTGAATCAAATTCTCATTCATCAAGATAAATTAATTTTGATTTTTTATTGTTTAATAATTACTACATAGCGTGAAAGAAGAGCTGTGTGCAAGGAACTGCTTTCATAACGTCATGAATTATTTCTATTCATTATTTGCTTCCAGAAATATCGTTGTATGAATAATGAGCATTAAACGAAAGCTACATTACTTCTTCCGATTGTCAGTCAAACCATGCTGTTCAGAGCATACTTCATGCTACTATTTAGTGGAATTTACTCCTAATGTTTTCAAAAAGTGTTACCATAATATGTTTGGTTTTTTATTCTAGTCAGTAAGAATGATAAACTGTCATGTTGAACTATTCACTGAATTACGACTAGCTTGATGTTTTTATGGTTTCGAGTTAAAGGTAACAAATATAAGCAAACAAATCTCATTCATGAAAAGATATTGCTTGCTTGCTCAAATCCATTTAGTTCGAAAATTTGGTAAGAAGCTGACAGTCATAGGTTTCTGATCACTTAGAAGTCATACTGTCGGTGAAACAGGCTCAGAAAACACTCATTCATCAATTCGACAGCCAGTCTATGAGGTAATAACTGGAAATAAAGCAAAACCGGGATGGTGTGTGACTTACACCAATAAGTTTAAAGTTTTCGCTGACTACTTTACAAACTGATCTATGCTGCATGGTTGCCGTTAATGGCAGTCTAACCTGTATTACGGTATGAACGCAAGGTAGTCATTTAACAATAATCCAGTATTTACCAAAGGAAATGTGACCACCAGGTACGAAGAAGACAATGGTCTTAGGAAGTAAACTTCTTTTTTTTTGATGTGGTTTTGTTCTCTGAGCTGGATGGTTAGTTTGCGAAGCTTTCATCACCTTACTGGGTGACATCTTCAGCGCATACTTCAATTTGAAGTGAGCTTTTAGATTTCTCCACGAGTTTATTAATCATCTCTTCTGGTGATCTTCGACGTGATTGGTTGTTTGTGTGTGTTTTCACACCTTCTAGGTTACCTGTATTGGAACCGGTTGTTTCTTTGACTTGAACTTTGACCCTTTGTGTGTGAAGTTTCTTTCTTATTGGTTGATAAATTTTGTCTATGTCGATGTGTCTATTGATTGATGATCCACTGGAATTCCAAGCTTCTAAAAATTCTCTAGCATTCTTGTTATTTCCTTTGTCTAATATTCGAACGTTGTCCCAGTCGAATTGATGTCCGTAGTTGTCTGTGTGTAGTGAAATGAGGGAGTGGATGTCATGTCTTTTGACGGCTAGCTTATGTTCGTGGATACGAAGACGAAGGGGACGTCCACTTTGGCCGATGTAGTGTTTTTCGCAGTTGTTACAGTTTATTTTGTAGATGATGTTGGTTTTATCTTCTTTCGCTGTTGAGTCTTTTGGTTGACATAGAATTGAGTGAAGCGACTTTGTTGGTTTGTGTACAACGTCAACTCCTAAAGGTTTGAAGAGTCTTGTAGTGATTTCTGAAATATCTTTTATATATGGTAAGGCAATTTTCTTTGTGCTTTCCTTGGTGGCTTTTGTTTTGGTAGGTTGGCTTGGGGGTATATGTCTCTTGATGAAATTTCGTGGATATCCATTCTTTTGGAAGACGTCCATGAGATACTTTTCTTCAATTTTTCTTAAGGTGGGAGTGCTGCAGTGAGTCCTTGCCCTCTTGAATAGTGTTTGTATGCAATTCCTTTTGAGTGTTATTGGGTTGTTGCTGTTTTAATTCAGTATTTGGTCTGTGTGAGTTGATTTCCTATAAACTTGAGTTTCTAATTCTCCTGTAGTTGTTCGCCTGACTAAGACGTCCAAAAATGGTATTTTGTTCTCGGATTCCTCTTCTCTTGTGAATTTGATGTCGTTGAAGACGTTGTTTATTAAGTTGTGAGTTTTATCTAATTCGTTTCTTTTGATGATTACAAATGTGTCGTCGACGTAGCGTATCCAAATCTTGGGTTTGATCTTTGGTAGAATTATATTTTCGAGTCTTTGCACCACTCTATAATATCTAAGTAAACTTCTGTTGTGTAAACGGACGCCTGAAAGTGGCTGAGAGAATATATATATATATATATAGACAGAGAGAGAGAGAGAGAAAGAGAACAATTATGAACTAAAGATTTTAGCAACGAATACGATGTAATCAAACCACTTACAAAATGATGTAAAATATTATGAGAAAAAGTAACTTAGTAAAAGGCTAGAGCGTTTTAATAATTAAATGGAATTATGTATTCATCGTCAGCTAACTTTTTTATTATTTAAAAAGGATCCAACATTTGAGCAAAAGATATTGGAAGATTATGATATCGGTCAGTATATAAAGGAGCGTGTTATACCTCGTGCCGTTACATACTTTACTGGTGAAGCCTTGGAATCAGATGGTGACAGTGATGATGTTGGTGGTGATGGTGGATATTATGACGTAAGAAAAATCTGCCTTCTCATTTTAAAGTATCAGTTTTATTCATTGATTTAATGAATCTGCATCTTTTTCGCTGTAAATCTGGAAGTTATGGGCAGTAGATTCAGTAAGTTAGATATATCGATGGTATTATTTTTATTATTATTCACTGGCGTTCCAAGTGGAACATAGGGCTTCAACAACACGTCTCCACTTTTTTCTGCTTTCTACGATCCTCTTCAGCTGGATCCACTATTGACCAAACTCTATCATCTCTTCCTCACACGATCTCCTCTATCTCACGCTCACACTGACGACCCACTCCTCACTTCCCATTTGGATTCCATTCGAGCAATGGCCTGGCGTGCGATGTCCTTCGGCGGCCTCCTCAATGTATGCCGATCCATCTCCACTTTCTCCTACATATCTGTTGATCGATCAGCTCTTGGTTGCTTTGTTCATCTCCAGCGTTTCTTGTTGCTTATTCTTTCTGGCCATTCGATCCTAAGTATGGAGCCAGAGAAGACAGATGTTGATGACAGTCTACCACCAACTGTTGGAAATCCTTCTCGTGACTCCCGCGCAGTGAAAGTTTCTGACCCGTATGGAAGAACCGACTTCACAATGGTGTTGAAAATCCGAATCTTGATCCTTTGCTGGCTGTGTGCTGAAGATTTCCAAACTGGTTTGAGGTTGATGAAGGTGTATCTTGCCTTTCCGGTTCTGTCTGACTCTGAAATATTCATCCGTATTGAGTCCTGTAGTTGAAACGATGCTTCCTAGGTAAATGAAGGATTCAACCTCTGTTAAATCACTCCCGTCGATGATGATTGATCCTGGTTGTTGTTGTTGTTGTTGCAGTTCGTAGATTATCTTCATCATCTCCGTCTTCTCTATGTTCACCTACAGTCCTGTTTTGCTGCCAGCCTCTTCAGCCAGTTTGTTGGTTTTCGAGTTTGTGTGACATTAGACATACATCATTTACGTGCGAAATCCAGATCTTCCAGAGTCTTCTCATCGATGGTTCAGCGTACTCCTTACTCCTCGCCCTCAACAGTCTGAATCATGATCCAGTCCAACACAACTAAGAATATCATCGGTGATAATAGTCAGCCAGCTTGTCCTACTCCTGTATGCACTTCGAACGATACGATGAGTTGTCCGTTGTGGACCACTTGACACGTGATATCGTCATATAGCCAGCCGCTGAATGTGCTTGATAAAGATTTGGGCACTGCAGGCCGTAGTGCAGTCAACGCTGTCGAAGGCCTCCTCGAAGTCGATGAAGTTGAAGTGGAGTGAGGTTTGACTGTCATTCTATGCTTTGTTTTGTGATGACGATGCGTAGAGTTGCAGTTTGATCGGCACATAGTTTGCCTTTCCTGAATCTAGCTTGTTCCGGTTGGCGGGATTCTGTATCCAGTGAATCCTTTATTCTCTGGAGGATGATGCGACTTAGTATCTTACTTGGCGTGGACAACAGCATTATTCCACGCCAGTTCTTGCAGAGGTGAGCGTAAGTCTCCTTTCTTTGGCAGTTTGACGAAGTAGCCAGCGTTCCTTCCAATCAGTAGGCACCTTTCCTTCTTCTCAAACGTTTGGCAGTAAAGGAGTGAGAACATCTGCCGTAATCTCTGGGATCGTCTTAAGTGCTTCAAGAGAGATGCTGTCTGTTCCTGCAGGCTTTCCAGCCGGACTTCAGTGGCTTGATTGTATTCAGGACTTCTTCTTTCGTTGGAGGAGTGGCGTCCACGGACAGATATTTCCGTGTGTGTTGTAGGTGGTATTTCTGGACGATTTGCAGGTGATAGTCGATTTGAGAGTCTTTTAAAGTGGTCGGCTCATTGTTTTATTTGCTTCTTCTCCTTGGTGATCAGGTTCCCTTGAGCGTCTTTCATTGGTTTCATTGTCCGGGTTGATCTCTTCCCGGATAGAGACTTGGTTGTCTGATATAGTGTTCCGATGTCTCTTTTGCCTGCGCCCTGCCTGTTCTGCTTCAGTTTCTAGCCGTCGTGTCGTAGAATTGTCGTTTGTCTTTTCTAGAACCCTTCTTTACTGCTTTATTCAGTGAAGTGTATATTGAACTCAGCCTCTCCTTCTGTTGTGCATCTTTGCATTGAGTCAACTTCTCCTTCACTATCCTCCTCTCCTCTCTTCTATCAACTTCCAGGTAGGTATCCGCTGACAGCTGTTACCTATCTTGTCTCTTGATTCTTCTTAGAACAGTTGTACACGTTTCCTTTGACATCAACTACGGAGAGTTTCAATGTTCTTCCAGACAGGTTTTCTCAATTATGCTACGTAGTGTCTTCAACTCTGCTCTGATATCTGTAGCGAAGGCATCCCTCATGGTTTTGTCCTTTAGTTTCTGAATCTTGAACTTGAATCGTAGTCTGTTTCTATTTGTTTTCATGGATTTCGGCTTCACCATCGATGGTAATGCATATATATAAGCAAATAGAAACGTGAATTCCTACTGTAATTAAGTCAAAAATGAAGCATACATTCAGTTAACAGTTCCCTGAAAATGATTATGTTAATAAATAATATTATCTAAAGAAATCTTTCAAGACCTTAAATCCTTAAGTGCTTGCGTCTTATTATTTTGTAATGTTTATTTTTATCGCAATTTAAACTACGACATTCGGCTGTTCAAACAAACGTTGGCAGATGAAAGAAAGGGTTTCTGATAACGAACAGTAGTATACAGTTAATTATCATATAATTTACGTTGTTGTTCAAATATTTATTTAAATAAAACATTTTTACCCTTTTTCGAAATGGCTACATGTGTCAGAAACGACTTACTTTAATCCAGCGTAGGTTATTTTCTTAGGTAAATAAAACACTCCTGCCAAAGAGTAAGACCTTTACAATGGAAATTCAGTACGCTCTCAATCATTGCGTTCATAATTTCAATAATTTCTCTCCGTCTTCTTTCTTGTCTGAAACTTGATTGGTGATTCCTTTGTTTGTGACAAAGTTTTAGAATTGACTATAATGAAATGTATGACAATGGAAGAAATAACTTATTGGGGCTTGTTAACATGTTTTAAATTTTTGGAAAATCTTGTGGTGGTACTGAGAAATGGGACGCTGCAATGGATTCTTAACGGTTTTATTCATATTCGCAAATAAAATATTCAAACCAACGGAGTTGCTTGTCCAAATTCGTCTTATGCTACTTTACGTATATGTCTTATGCAGTACCACTCTCTTCCTAATGTTTATGTGTAATTTATATAGATCCATAGCTTTATACACCATTTTGATACACCTACTATAAAACAAGGTCGTTAAGTATTACTGATAATCAACCTAGTTGTGCTGAACTGGATCACTGCTCAGATAGTGGGTAGTGAGGAGACAGGCATAGGCTAGGCTTGAAAAGTAACCCTAGGAGTTTTGGAATTGGTAAAAGATTTATCTCTAAGGTCAGATTAAAGAGTTAAAATTAATACGAAAACCTCGTCATAACCAGCAGTCACTATTCTTCTGATTTAACTAGTTTCTCACTACTAACATTAGTCTGCAATATATTTTACGAGAAATACGCAGTTATTGATCGCTAAATTCGCATTTAATTGTCAAGTTAGTTATTAAAAAATTAAAATCCATTTTTTCTTTATTTCAGATTGATGAAGATGATGACTTTGGAGTAAGGAAAATGTTAAACAGAATTCATTGGACGTATATTTTGAACTAGGCATTTGTACTGCTTAGAACAAATATTTTCGGAAGTTAAAATCTCTGTAGACTGCTTGATAGATTGAAGATGAAATTAAAATTTGAACCACAACAGAATTAGATCAAGTTGTCCATATGTCATCTAGCCGATTATACACTGACTGAATTTTGGAACTTTGGTGTCAACTACGTCATAATTTTTATCTCGGATGTGTTTAGGGAATCAGCAACCAATATATGAGACAGGAATGACTGAACACCAATGTCAGAAATGTTTGCTTCCATTCCTTGTATCCCAAAGTCGAAAACAGGGCTTCAAATTTTGAATTTGCTTGCTTCATACTCAAACTTCCTACATTTTCAGGCTTACAATCACTCAGTAATCCATGAAGGGTTCCGGAGAACTTAGAATGAAAAACTGTATTAAAGCAGGAGAAAGCAGAAACATTTCTAGCAACGTTATGAAGTTGTGTAGATAAACTGAAGTGATTATGAATTGTAGATTATGAAAAAGAAATGCCTTTAAGTTATTATTAATGCCTCATTGGGTTATATCAGATAAACTCATCTAACATGGAAATAAATTCAAAAGAATGAAATGAATATAAGTTCCTGGTGACCAAAAGTCCCACTAGGCTTTTTACGAAATTATTTGCTCACATGCTCACATTTCTAATGATTGCTACCCTCTGCACGCGATTCAAATTTAATACTGTTTGACTAATTATTCATACCTATGTAACCGACTCCAGAGGAATAGTTATATTGGTAGATACACATGGAAGAGGCGGAATTAGGCAGTTAATCTCTTACTCCAGAACACAAAATGGGAGTGCTTTTGAAGGAAGGGCGTAATTCAGCAGCATGGAATGCTCTTTTTAACGCAATTCTAAGGCGCTGTTTTAGTATCTCGCTAACGTTATCCCCAAGGAACTGCATTTGTAAAACTAAGGCATTTTTTGGAACTTTTGGTAACCTGGGCTGCTTTGATTTTAGATTCATATTCTTATCAATAAACTTTTCCGGATAACCATTTTCACTTAGCAACCTTTTAATATTATTAAGTTCTTCATTATGACATTCATCAGAGCAGATTACTCTTGCTCTATGGACCAAGCACTTTATCAGATTGCATTTGTATTTCAAGGTCACAAAGCTGAAAAAATGACTATACCGACCCGTTGATGTAGGTTTTCTATATACACTTCTTATTGTGCCATCCTCTTTCCTGGTCATAAGGACGTCTAAACATCAAATACTAGAGTCTTTTCCTTTCTCAATAGTAAAATTTACTGCCGGATGAACCTCGTTAAATTTATCCAGGATGTTCTTTGCTTCCTTCTCATTTTTCATAATTAAAAATGTATCATCCATGTACCGGCAATAGAATTCGAGTTCATTAATAACATCCTTCAAAGGCTCATCTTCTAGTTTCGCAAGGAAAATGTAGGCTAGAATGGGTCCTGGTGGTGACCCCATTGCCACGCCATCGATTTGTCTATATAATTCCTAATTAAATAAAAAGTGGACATTCATTGTGCATTTCAAGAGAAGCTCTTTCATAAAAGATATAGGAACGCCAACATCGATGTTTCGGCTTATGAGCTCTTCACATACAAAATCCACTGTTTCCATAAGTGGTACATTGGTGAATAAGGAAGATGCGTCAAATGATATCGAGTTTATTGTCAACATTTAAGTCTTTCATTCTTTCAATAAATCCAAAAGTAACCTATACACTGTGTTTCACCAACTCGGTATGAAGAGGCTGTAAGAATGCGACTAACCATTTGGCTACGGGATGGTATGGTGAATTCAACATATCTAATACTGTGCACTTTAGGCGAACCATATAATCTTGGTGTGAACGTTCCAGTGGGCTTCAGTGATGTATTCTGACTGTGAGATAAAGCCTTGTTGTTTCAGTCTCCTCAATGTTTCCGCCAGATGTTTCTCTATCTTTTCAGTCGAATCCAGAGATTTCCAATAGGATTAAGGATACCGGTTTGTTTCAATACACTGGTGGATGAAGTCAACAGTAGTCTTTGGTTCACTGAACCTTGAGCTGTTCTTCAAATATTCGTTGAGTAATTTTAATCCAAAATGCTGCTCACTTATTTTGTTTTTCCAAGATGTCTGAATGATACTAACACGACGCCTTAGGAATGCGGTAAAAAGAGCGTTCCCTGCTGCTAAATCACGCTCTTCCTTCAAAAGCATCCCCATTTTGTGTTCTGGAGTAAAAGATAAACTGCCTAATTCCGCCTCTTCCATGTATATCTACCAATCTAACTGCTGTTGTGGAGCCAGTTACATGGGTCACACAATTAGGCATGTTTCTCGTTGGATTTCCGAACATCACTCTGTGTGGTTGAGTAAAGGACAAACAAAATCTATTCGTGGTTCTATTCTGTCTCATCTTATGGATACAGAACACAAGATTGATGTTAACCAGGCTTTCAGGGTTATTTACCGCATACCAACAAATCTTATTTTCGCCTCAAGAGTTCGTTTACTAAATATTGCTGAGGCTGTGGGAATCCGTATTAAGAAGCCTACTTTGTGCTTACAAAACAAGTTAGTTCAGACACTATCCTTACCTTTACAGATTTAGGAAAAGGTGAAAATACTACTTAGTGAAAAGTATTAGTAGAAATGGGAATTCAAGTAGACAAAGTGAGAAGGTAAGGAACACAAAGGTTTTATGCTCATGGAAGCACGTTGCTACTTCATTGTAACCGTGGAAAATAGTTTTGTTTTCAAGTACCTGAAAGAGATAAGACATTCGTGATGTATGATGGGGTACTCCAGAGGACAAATGTTCGGAAAACTTGCAATAACATAATAATCAACTTTAGTTTTAATGCTATTAGTCTAGAATATTAAGGTTTGCAAATCATTTGTTTCAGCTTGTATAACTGGTTTCGTCTTTGTGATTTGCAAATTCCACATTCGCTGTAAGGTAGCAGCTACTCGTCAAAATTAGTGGTATATCTATTAGAATTCACCAAAATAATAATCACCGTGTTGTCACTAACGACTTGCATTTTAACTAGTCAAACTCTAGTCCGATGATACGCTCATTGCTGGGAACATGACGGCTAATTTTGTGTCAAAATCTAGCATTCAATTGAAGGCACAGTGTGTTTTTTAAATATACGCTTTGAGTTATGGTTTGATGTGTCCATTACACATGAAACTCTGACATTTAAAATGAATATTTATAATATATTTGCTTTAAACAGGCAGAAGAACATCAGGAAGTATCGGAACAAGTAACTCGTGAAAATGATGTATGAAGAGACATTGTTGTTTTTGTTACTGGCTGTTCATTAGAAAAATCTTGTAGTTAATTATACATATGGGGATAGAAATAAAGTTTTCATTAAATGAACCCAAATGGACATTTATTTTTGTATGAACAGCAAAGTACATCCATTACTTAATTTTATTTTTGTTTAAAAACCCCTGTATACAAATCGATTGTACAACAGTAACTGCTCCACCTAGTTAACATTAAATATTAATCTGTCATTTAGTTAAATAATATGACAATGTGTCGTATTTTAGAAGTAAGCCTACAGGAAGTTCTGGACTCAAGGAACGACTTGTTATGTATATGCAAGAAGCGTAGTTTGAATGCCTTGACGGTAAGGTCTGTCAATAACTGTGAGGGATGTTTTGTAAAGTTTAGAAATACGCTTCACTAAATAGCATAATCAAATAAGGGTATAAGTTCACTCTTATCGGCTCCTAAATCCTAAGACACAGTATTAGAATCCTCATATTTATTTGTACTCAGCAAATATATAGTCTGTAATAGATGCGGAGGCGTGTTTATATTCATGATTCTAAACAGAACTAATGAAACCCATAGTACAAAGTGTCAATCAAGGCTTAAATTAAGTTGTTCAGGAAATGTTGATATTTAGTCTTTTTTAACAATAAATACATTCATTTTTTTAATAATAAAGCTTTATTTCAGACAACATGTGGATACACAGTAAAGAAATTTTCAGCGTATTTATTTCTAAATTATTTCGTCTTTGTAAAGGATTTACATATAAAATAGTAATCTGAAGTATATCATGTGACGTGGCGTTGTTGCATTTGAAAAGAGAACCAACTGAATGTATTTTTTTTCATTTACTCCAACAGTTGCATAGCGTTATCTTGAAAGCTAATTAAATGTGTGCTCGAGTTCATGTATTGGTAAGTTGACCTGATTAAAACAATAAGGAATTAAGAAGAGTTCAAGTATTTTGGTAGATAGAAGTTTTGTAAACATATAGCAGATACATATAGACAGTTTCGCGAAAACCTAAATCAGTCAGAGGTGTTAGATTTCGAAACAAAAAGTAAAAGTCCACTGATATTCAAAACATCTTGAGTTATACAATGCACCATACTATGAACTCAGTTTTCTATCCAAAGTTATTCTGTCCTAGTAACAGAAGTATATATGACTACTATATTTACAATCATCGAACTTTTTTTTAATAATAATAGTAATAATATTAGCAGCTTTAGTCCAAACGGTATTTGTGGTACAGGTATGGAATTTTCAGCGTGCATTACAGTATATTGCATCTAATTACCTCATAAATTTTATAAGATTTTTAAAATCAAGAGATAAATAAATAAAAATAAAATAAATAATAAATAAAATAAATAAAAATAAAAAAAACAGCGTAGAGTTTACATTTCAAACAATGCACCAGAGGATATGAAAAATAAAGTTGATGTGTGATAAAAGATGAGAACAACAGTGTAATAGTAACGAGGAAAGGAAAACAAAAACTAATGGGACTATTTGTTAGAGTGCCGCAGTAAGTTTATCGTGTCATACCTAACGGATTTCTCATCACATAACAGCTGTGCCAGATATGGTATTGTGGAGTTTTTGTATTTGGTAGTCCTAGCATATAGCCTCCTATAGCTGCTTCTAGTTCTACCAGATGAAATGCAAGGAGATAGATGCGTATAGAGAGGATGCTCGGGGTCCGACAATATTGTATTCGCTAGTTTCTTACATGACATTATATGTCTATCTACAATAGTGTTAACCAGTTGGTTTAACGATATCCCACTTGCCCTACTAACGGCTTTTAGTGCCCTTCTCAGCGAAGCAAAGTCTTTCTTAAGTAGTCCAGGAAAGACTAATGGGGAGCAGTAAAGGGGGATGGGTAGAATACAAGAATTTACAAACTGAGAAAGAAAAGACTGCTTTATGCCAGACTGCCTAAATTTCCTAATGTAGAACGTTAAGCGAAACATCTTTCTAGTAACTAGCAAGATGTGGGAAGACCAGGAAAGATCGGTGGAAAAACTCAGCCCAAGGTACTTGACATTAGATGTATTTTCAACCTCTGTGCCGTCAATGATAGTGGGGCCATGTGAGCTAACTAGTTGCTGTAGGTCACATTTACGTCTGAAAGTGAAATTGACTACCTGACATTTAGACGGATTAAGCTTAAGTCCGTTTGAAGAGGACCACTGACTAATTTCCGACAGAAAGTTATTTAATTTGGAACAATCTGACTGAGAGTTGACAGGCATAGAAACCGAGAGGTCATCGGCATACTTAACAAAAGTGGCTACATCAGAATGAGGCAAGTCATGTAAGAAAAACGAAAACAGAAAGGGAGAAAGAACAGCACCTTGAGGAACACCAGCTAAAGTAAGTGAGGTAGTGGAGGATTTTCCATTGTAGACGGTGTACTGCTTCCTTTCAGAAAAATAGGAATGCAACCACTTATTTGTCCAGCTTTCAGCCTGTGTTGCAGCAAGCTTACTTAGCAAGAGAGACCTGGGAACAGAGTCAAATGCAGATGTGTAATCAAGGAAGGCACAGCGAACGTATTTAGCTCCTTTATCTAAACTAGAGACTATGCTATGGTGGAGGACGACAGCGGCATCTAACGTACTCCTACTATGTTTATAAGCAAACTGGTTGGGGTCGTTGAAAGGTTTTAAAGAGGGATCAAGATTAAGTAAAATAAGTCTTTCCATAACTTTCAAAAAGGTGAGGTAATTGAAATGGGTCTAAACTTAACATTAGGTCCACTTGTTTATTTAGGCACTGGAACGATCTTGATATTTTTCCATGATTCAGGTATAATACTTTTGGAAAACGATTCGTTGAAAATGTCAGTTAAGGGGGAACACAAGATGTCGGCACACTTCTTAAGGATAACAGCAGGAACACCATCAGGACCGAGGGACTGAGTAGGCTTGAGAGATTGAAGACACTTGAGGACATCATTCGTGTTAAAGCATGAGAAGCAGTCATTGTTTACACTATTTGAGTTAGGAATCATAACATTTGCTGGGATACATATGAAGGATTCATTAAGCATGTTAACATCTACAGAAATATCATTCATCATTTGCTTACCACCTGTGATTTCCTTTAATAACTTCCACATATTTGATGGGGATTTACATGAAAGAAACTTCTGGTTATAGAGAGCATTCAATCTTTGTAATTCAAGCTTAATCAAAGTGTTCATTCTCTTAACACCAGATTTGTTTTTCATTTTGAACAACCTTTCTTTTTCACGGCGGAGCTTTTTGAGTTGAGAAGAGGAGAAGCGATCGAATTTTAAGAAGATTGTCTCTTTTGGACAACAAACATCAAGACAGAAATTAAGATAATGTGTTATGTTGGCAATTGTGTTATCAAGAGCTTGTTCAGTAAATAAATCCCAGTTTGTGTCTTTTAACATGGACCTTAGATTCAGTATGTTGTCATGGGAATAACATCTGTGTTGTGTTTTCTTTCCAAGGTGTGAGAAGACCCTTTTGTGCTGCTTTCCATATACTTTGGGCAATATTCTTATGATACAGTGATCTGAATTTAGTAGTGGGGCTCTTTTTCGAGCTTCAAATATTCCTGCATCGTTTGTAAACACAAGATCAAGAGTGTTGTCCATTCTAGTCGGGAAGTTGACAATATTATCGTGTCCAAGTGAAATTAGGAAGCTGTGATCACTAGAATTAAAATCACCAGTAACTATAGACAAGGAATTTCCGAAGGAGGTGGCAGCAAGGGAAGTAAATTCATCCGCAAATAAAGATAATTCTGTGGAGTTGCATCCAGGAGCAATATACATGTTCGAGATGTAAATGTAGTTGTATTTTGACAAATGTTTAGGTCGACACTTAACGGTGAGACAGTCAATATTGTCACTAGAGAATTTGAAACATACATTATTAGACGTACACCATTGTGAATTGATGAAGATGGCGACACCGCCACCGCGTTTCTTCCTGGAACTACACCGATCTTGTCGGTAAAATTTGAAATTATTTAGATACACTAGATTGTCATCATATAGATCATGAAGCCATGTTTCTTGAAGTGATATGATCCCAGTATTATGATATATAATGGAAGACACCAGCGATTGAAGACAGTTAATTTTAGCCGGCAGGGAGCGACAATTGGTACTCATAATTGCGGGAACAGTCATGAATTGAATAGGGGTATTTTTTAATGCTCTCTGCCAGCCGGCATGATGCTTTTTCTTGTCTTTTTTATGGAGTTGCAGATCAGTAGGTTTTAAGATATTAGATATTCACGAGAATAAATAATCCGATTTGAGGTCATATTTGAATAAGATTTATTGATTAAAAATCAATTAGAAATGAGAAATTAGATGCAATATGATTTGTAATGTTTAAGGTAATTGGTAGCCCAAGATTTAAGCAGGCCGCCAAGATCAAGAACTGATCTAATTTCACCTTGTCCACATTCTGGAGATCAAGCATTTTGAGAGGAATAAATTTCAAATTATTAATGAGGTTTAAGTGAATTCGAAAATGGCATCTATTCATGCTCATTGTTTTCATTCATCAGCAGTAACTGAGTTCCAGTTGATTAGTAAAGTGTAAAAAACAGGATTTAACATTAACAACTTGGGAGATGTAATGACTGGTTTTACTGAAGTTATGACTATTGCCAGAACAAAAAAATTAGCGATGAAAAATGAGCCAGTGACATTTTGTCGAATGTTTCATCTCTCACTGTTGAGTAAAAGAAAATAGTACGACAGCAAGTGTTTAAATTGCCAGTACTAAACATTGTAGAATCAAGTGGATTCATTTCACTTTTTTACTTTAAATTTTCTCAATAAGAATGAGGTTTAAGATTTGTTTTCATCGTCTATTGCATATATATATGTATTTATATAGCTCAGTATTAAAATCAACGACAGTTTGTCACTTCAAGTGTTTTCATAAACACTCGTATACATTGCAACAAAAATGGCAAATTTCATAATCCCAAAGTATAAATTACAGATTCTACTTCAAAAAACGAATCATATCACAAAATTAAATGATAAAGCGAAAAGAAATCATGTGGC